AAATAATTTGACTATTTATTCCAGCAATGTTGAGTAAAGAAAAAAATAATGTCAAAGGCCATCTGTGGCAGTTTCTTGAAACTGAGTATTCGCCTTTCAGTTCATCCACAACGTCTACACCTCCTTTTGACATATTATAAAATGAAATGACTTCTGGTAATTTTTTATCTCCCGAGTTTGGATCAATGTCACCTTGTGTTTGCATTGTTGATAGCATCATAACATTTTTTTCCTTTTTTCGGAACATATGACAATAAAAGACAATTATTGTCTCCAAATCCAAATTTTGTATTACATATTTGTCGATTTGTTGTGTCTAAAAAACATGTTGGTATTTCCCTTTTATTTTTTTCATTGTACCTACCATAGTCGTTTTATAGTCTTTTAGAAGTTCGACAACTAAAGGGACTGAAGTGAACCAATTATCAATAGCAATATTACGGCCTGTTTTAGCAATTGGTTTTATCATATGTTTGACAACACTAGCTCCACTATTATTCTGTAAAAACAGTCCAATCGGTTGTTTGCCTGCGTAAATTTCCATATTTACTGTATAAAATACACGTGAATCTACCAAAGCAAAAATCTTTATACCATATTTATAAGCAATATATAAGAGACCGATAAGTGCTCGAATTTCTTCTACGTCAGTATCTAAAACATCTTTGTCCCTTTGATAATTAATAATTATTACGAATTTTTGCTAAATATATATTAGTACAAGAAGTAATTTTTTGTAAACAATCGTTGGGGAAAAAAAGTTCCCAAGAGTGAATTATAGTTTTAGCATTTTTTGCTGCCGATTTTACACCAGGAAGGTGTGTTAGTGTGTTACAATATTTCTTTGTGGAGTTCTAACATTACGAGGAGGAGGGTCAGTATACCACTTGATAATATTATCTTTACCTTTATTATATCCACGAAAATCATTTCTAACAGAATCGTCAGAACAAGACATTTCGGAATCACTTTCATTTTCAACAGATTCATCACTATTTTTTGGATTGTCTAATACGTCTCCATCACTGTCATCTTCGTCGGGGTCAAAATCATCTAACATATCATCGCCAGCTTCCTTAAGCCAAGCAGATATGTTATTATCCATAGTAAAATAATGCACAGAAAAAACGTACTTGTTTGGTCAATGTTTGGTAATTAAAGGGGAATAGTAAGTTCCTACACGAGAGTAGCGGGTAAACAATTACATACGTCAGTTCCTAACTAACATACGCACCTGGTTTTTACCGTGTAGGAACTTACATATGTACCTTTTTCCGTCGTGTAGGAACTAACGTATGTATTTTGTGTACCTGCTACTCTCGTGTAGGAACTTACATTCGCCCAAATTAAAAGTTTTGAATATATCGGTTATCGGCTTTAAATTTGCTTAACATATAGGTTCATCGGTTATCGGTTAAAAGTGATATAACCTAACCTTAACCCCTAAATGTTACTTAATGACTAAACAAGAAAAAAACTAAAAAGGGAAAAACATTTTGTTATGACCGAAATGTCTATGCATCGTAACACTATACACGTGATGCCGATGCGGGCATTCCGGCGCTATCATATTATGCATGACGCACACGTAATAGATCGGCACTCAGTATTCAGTAGTGTCCTGAGTAAATAAATTAAGATTAATTAATGGAGAGAATATAATAATACGAAGGACGAAGGGTTACCGCGGTAAAAAATGCAGTCCAGTTGTGGAAAACTCCAAACCGTAATCCAACATTGGTACGTTTTTATAAAATTGTATTAATTTTATTCAGTTCAATATTATTGTTTGATTGTTATTTATTTTAAATTTAAAATCAAATTTGTCATCAAACAGTCAATGTGTGAAGCTGCACACAGTCTTTGAGCGCAATAAACACAAACGACAAATTGTTCGATCACGATTAATATAAAAAAAAAACACGCTTATACAATTTTCATCGTTGATGCTTTATTAAAGCATAATATTTTAGGCTATGCTCGAATTAAAACGACGAATGCGTCGATGTCACTGTTATGTATGTATATATTTATATTGTACAACAATAATTATTAGGCTAACCATGTAGACGATATGTTATCGGAGATAATCAATATAAAATGTATATATATAACATCATTATGTGTTGCGCCGTCGTGCGTTAATAAGGCAGTCGTACTTCGTCAACGCGTGTGATATGAGCCCTCGGTCGCCGCAGACGTAATAGGTAACAGTCACCTCAAGCGGCCGCTTAAGTGGTCCGGATTAGTCGCGCAGATCTGAGCAATGATGTGGTGGCCGCGAACAACGACGCAAGTTCTATCGGAAGCACGTACGGGTTACCGATTCTCACACATTTATTTCAATGATTTCGTACCACCCATCAGCACCATGAGCAACGGCCCTATATCGTTTGAAATAATTTTTACGCTAGCTACAACTCGCCGCGAAAACGTATTGCTGCTACCAGTAATGGTATGTCAAGATGTAATTTCAGACAAAACACAGTCACACAAATATTTAAAATTTGAAAATAAACTATAAAGACAAACCGCTAACAGTATGTTAGGATAACATTCAATCACTCAATAGTATGGAAAAGTTCTTGTTTTGCTTCAGGCATACTCATACATATACAGAAAAACCGCAAGCGTACAACCGTGACCACCGAATCACGGTAGGGCCGTTGAATACAAAGTGACAGTCCCCCGAACGACAACGCAGTTCCATGGGAAGACCGTACAGGTACCATTATATATTCTCTTAAGTTTATTTAAATGAATTTGAACCAACATTCATGCAAGACCAACGGCAGTGTTACGACACACCGCTAGATTACCAATAACTGCATGCGAAGATGAACAAAATGTCAAAGGTCCAAACACAATGCTTCGAATTTAATTCCAAACATTGATAAGAATAATTTTAAGATTTTTAAGTATCACAGAATAGTTCGTCGTTCATATGAAAATATTATCACGGTTTTAATGGTCAAAATTCAATCTTTCTGCTATAAAATCGATGAAACAGAAACATCACTTTAAAAACCCTTTTCTATCGTTATACTAGTTAAAATTCATTTAATAGTGATTTTTTTCTGCCAATATATAACTTACCGATGCCGTAAGCTATCTGGAACAGATTTGAAGTTGATTCGGAAACATTAAAACCGTAAAATTCAATAAAAAGTAAAATTTATGTTCAAATGTCACTCCACAAGTGTCAATATAATACCTATATAAAAATTAATGAAAAAATTCGGGTTTTTTTGTGTCAACGATCAGTTCGTCGTTCATATGAAAATATTAACATGGGTGCGGATTGTCAAAATTAAATCTTTCTGCATTAAATTCGATGATACAGAAACGTCACTTTCAAAACCCTTTTCTATCGTTATACTAGTTAAAATTCATTTAATAGTGATTTTTTTCTGCCAAAATTTAGATTACCGATGCCGTAAGCTATCTGGGACAGATTTGAAGTTGATTCGGAAACACTTAAACCGCAAAATTCAATACAAAGGAAAATTTATATTCAAATGTCACTCTACAAATGTCAATATAATACCTAATACCTATATAAAAATGAATGAAAAAATTTGATTTTTTTTTTGTGTCAACGATCAGTATGTCGTTCATATGAAAATATTAACATGGTGCGGATTGTCAAAATTAAATCTTTCTGCATTAAATTCGATGATACAGAAACGTCACTTATGTAATTTATCATTAATCATTGTTTTACTTGAGTTCAAAACAGTTATTGTTTTTGAGGTAATACCTAAAATATCTTCAAAAAATAAAATGCCAATTTGGGAATTCATGTGTATAGACAGCTTTTGGTCAAATCACAATTAATATGGGCAGTAGACGCCCATCATCCGAATAGGTTGAATGTATTTTAAATTGCTTACAAACCTTCAACTGCAGACAGGATGGTCTTGTATCAATGTGAGGATTAATGAGAAAAGAATATTTAAGTTATACAAAATACATTTTTTCTATAGAAACTGTAGACAACAAATTGTGTTTATAACAAATAACTCAATGAATTTCAAATTAAAAGATGTGATTGGGATTAAAAAAAATATTTGCTAGATATTAAAAGTATTGTGGGTCCAGCAGAAATTATTTATTTTGAAATATATTAGTAATACAAGATGGGAGAGCTTTAAATGACTATAAGGATTATAGACAACAGTACAAATATAATTTTTACTTTGTCAGTTGTCACTTGTCAAATCATAGGAAAAAAATGACTTAATGTCATTGAGATAGATACTAAGAAAGGTTAGGTTAAGTAAATAACATATCAAATACCTATACATTTTAATATCATACCGTGACACCGTATAATATGCTTCTGTTTTTCATTCAAAAATTCTGAAGTTCTGATCTCTAAGATCTTCTCAATATCGCGCACCGCGGCTTACAATTTTTTAGTTTTTTAGTTTTTACTTATTAGTTATCATGTAGATGCAGTTATCTCTATCAGAAAAATGCAAATATGTCTCAATAATTTAATATAATATCGGAATAGTTTATGTTCGAAGTAATCGATATCGGAGCAGTATTATGATGGACAATGGAAATTTTTTTTGTAGTAACACAATGTCGTAGGCCGTAGCAGTACATAATCGTAGAATTGGTTTTATCCCAGTCACCACATTGCAGCCCAACACGATTTAATTTCCACAAATTATACTTTATAGTCAATAGTCAATAGATAGAACTGATAGAAGTAAAAACAATGGTTATAGTCAACGAAATATTATGGACTGTTTCATCACTATTTTTACTTATTGTATTATATTTTTAATTCGACCGTCCAGTGTCAACGACTTGTAGCAGTCGTCAACATCAACGTATAGACTTAAAAAAAGAAATAAAACAAATCAATGTTAGGGGTTTGCGGTGAACTGTCAGACCAGGACGCCGTACGGCGATCGACACGTCATGTTCTCGTTAGGCCGCAATGACCTGGTTTTCAGCAGGCAATACTGTCGACCGAGCAAGTTGATATGATCAACGGTGAAAACTATGATATGCAGCAACGGGCATACCAGCAAGATCAGGTAAAGCAATAAGTAATAAGGCGTTTGAACACGGAACACTTTTGCATTTTTGCTGCCAGCACTTATCATTAAGACTCCTTCAAGCTGCACTGCGGGCGTAGAAACTTCAATGAACGGCGCTATCCTCCTATTTTTATAGCGAGCCATCGAGTTCACCGGCGATCTTGCCGCCGGCCCGGTTGTTTAATTGTACATTTGTGCTTGCCACCGTGAAAATCGCGTGTGATCACGAGACTTGTGTTTTTGTCGTTGACGCAATCAGCCTTCATCATCAGAATCATAAGCAAGTAATCGATTTTTTTTTCCGTCTTAGAGGTTGACCACAACGAAGGCGTCGCGTACGTTCACCGCCCGAGTGCCTCCACAATACTTCGTGTGAACACGATACATGATAATATCGTATTTGTCATTGTTGTGATCAGCCGACATACCCAATTTGTCAAAACACCTACTCATCAATTATTATGTGGGCCATCAAGTTTTGCCGGTTTTGGTTTCCGTCGTGGTGTTCCGGGAAGTTCCGCCGACTTGTGTGGTATATACTCGCGGTATCCACTCGTCGAGCAGTCGCAGTGGTTTCCACTCGTCGAACAGCCGCAGTGGTTTCCTCTCGTAGACCGAAGTCCGAGAGAAGCAAGAAGACGCCTGCCCGCTATCGCAGTTTCAGCGAGGTACCGCCACTAGTGGCTACTGGCTTTTGCCGTGGTCAAGGTCATATGTTTTATATAAAGTTCTCCTCTTGTTCAGTGGGGCACACCAAAGTGTATTTTATATGTAGTCGTCGCTGTAGTATTTAGTTCTAAAGGATTAATAGGATTAATGTTTGGTTTTGATTTTTGAGTAATGACACTATTGCAGTATAATGTTTGGAACACATGTACAACAATACAATTTCATTGTGTAGTTCATAATATCAACGTTTACAATTAAATTGGTTTTGGCATAGGCGTGCGCACGGGGGCAGCAGAGGCAGCACATGCTGCCCCGGGACTTTCTTTGGGGCTACCGCGGTGGCTAATATTGAATAATGGACCTCGCTAAAATTATATTTCCAAAAAAAAATGACCATTGTTGATAAAAAAATTATAAAATTGTATTATGCGCGCGCCCCACATAACATTTTCCAATGTTACAAACTTCTATAAATATTGAAGTTGAGTTGAATTTGAAAGGTTTGGAAAATAAGATTCAATAATTCTAGAATAAGTGTTTATTTTTAAATTTCACATTAAAGTAAATTCTTAGTGTTCCATAAACACTTGGTTTAGATTAGATTTTAAATATTAGAAAGTTAATTAGTATTAAATGCTGAATAAACTTACAATAACTAACATTTAAATAGAGTATCATTTACAAAGTGTATTAAACCTAAATCTATAAACATTAATATTAGGTTACCAAGTTCACTTTGCATACATTGAATTAAAATTGAATTGTAAATATGTTTACTTAAGTATTTATTTAATGCTTAATAAAATTTCTTCCACATTATTACACAAAAGATGTATATAATAACAATATATATATAATATATATATATAGTAGTAATATAATAATAATAAAGAGAAAGAATCTGAAATGTGTAAAATTACGTGAATAAAATCTTCAATTCGAATTTCGGCTAAAAATATGTGGATATACCAACAACTAAAAATAATAATGTCATGCATTATCATTAACATTATTGCTAACAGGGTTCCTACGCCGCTGCTATTAGGTTCGTACATTATCTACACCCCAATATTTACGCAACGGTCAATGTCATCGATGGGTTTGACTCGACAGTTCGTGAAATAATAATGTGCCTCTCAAGCGACTACGCAGCGTGAGCTCGTCACGGAAAAAGTGGGCGGCGTCGACGACATGGCCATCTCTGGAGCGTTAGTTACGTTTTACTTTTACTGTGACGGCCAAAGACTGACAAAAATATAATATATTAATATTATTTGGAATAAATTGCATTGGTTAATTAATGTAGGTACCTATAGTCTATACTAAATATTTTTAGATCTACACCAAAAGACAAACAAATAGTTAAAGAAAAAGGGTTCGAAAATGTTGGATTTTTAGAGTACACAAAACAATTACAACCACTTTACACTCCTCCAAGTAGGAAATTATTAAGTACAAAGTTGCTGCCTGATCAGTATAACATAATTGTTTCTAAGCTCAAATCTATGTTAAACAACGTAAATGATGTGTCTATAACAACAGATATGTGGACATCTGATTCCCAAAAATCCTATATTACTGTTACTTGCCATTTTATTTACAACGATAATTTATACTCGCCAGTTATTGCTACCAGAGAAGTATGCGAAAGTCATACCGGAGAAAATATTGCTTCCGCACTATCATATATTTTTAATGAATGGAATATAACTCACAAAATAGTTACAATAGTGTCTGACAGTGGAGCAAATATAAAAAATGCTATTAATAAACATCTGAAAAAATATCACCACCCATGTGTAGCTCATACCTTAAACCTAAGTGTTAATGATGCCATAAATAAAAACACAGAACTTCTCCAGGTATTAAAAACTTGTCGAGCTATAGTGGGTCACTTTAAACACAGTAGTTATGCAACTGAGAAATTACGTGAATTTCAAAAACATATGGGCCTCCCTGAGTTAAAAGTTAAGCAGGATGTGAGCACTAGGTGGAATTCATGTTTAATTATGGTTGAAAGGCTCATTGAAATAAAAAATCCAATATCTGCTGCAATGTCGTCTCTCCGACGGGCTCCAAATTGTCTGACTGCGACAGAATGGGATTTAATAGCAGATTGTGCTCCAATTTTAAAACCATTTGAACATATGACGTCAGAGTTGTCCGGAGAAAAATATCCAACATTGTCCTTGGTAATACCACTAATAAGAGATCTTCAATACACAGTCAAAAATATAAAACCAGATACTCATGCAGGTATATTGCTACAAAATACATTATTAGATGTAGTAGCGAGGCGTTTAGGATCTCTAGAAAAAAATAGTATAGTAGCAAAATCGACTTTCTTAGATCCGAGACTTAAAAAAACTGCATTTGGACTTGCTGATAATGCAGACAATACTGAAAAATGGATAATAGAAGAACTTACTCCGAATATATATATATTAATAACGACGATGAAAACATTAGAAACAATATAAGTGAAACACCATCATCCCCAATTGTAACACGCGAATCCTCAAATTCTTTGTGGGAACATTTCGACAGTAAATTATCTCAAGTAAGAAGTGTTATTCGCCCTGATATTAGTGCAAGATTAATGGTTCGTCAATATCTAGAGTTACCTCATTTGCAACGTGGAAAAAATTGCTTAGATTTTTGGAAGCAACATAAACATACTTTTCCCGAGTTATACAAACTACAACTAAAATATTTATGTATTCCTGCAACTTCGGTTCCAAGCGAGAGAGTATTTTCCAAAGCTGGATTGTTAACCAATACACGAAGAAATAAGCTGTCACCAAAAAATTTAAACTATTTAATATTTTTAAATAGTAACTTAAATATGTTGTAAAATACTCAATCAGTTTTAATTATTATTTTTATTTTTAAGTTTTGAACAGTAGTTGTTTGTTATAAGCCTAACACAATGAAATATGAATCGTCAGTTGTTTTATTTTAAAAAGTATTTTGTTTTTATATTATAATTTATAATAATAAATGTAAAGTGTTATTTCAATTAAAAATATTACTATGAATTTTTATTAATAAGTTGATTATTGATTGATTATTAATTATTATATATTAGTTCATGATAATATTTCGATTATTTTAATCGAGTGAATATCTCGATTATAGTAATATCTCGATTACTAATTACTCGATTATCGAAATCATTCGATTATTCCCATCACTAAAAAAAATAGGTGACTTGAGACCTTTCTCACACAAAAAATATTTATTTTTGACTTGACACTAAACGCGCACTGTAATACATAATAAAAACACTGGTAACATGTTAATGACAGTGTTACCACTAGATCTAGCTTAAAATTTCTTTCAATTTTCATGTAATATAATATCAAAATGTCCAAAAAGTGACTTTTCCACGGATTAATTTATTAATCCGTGCTTGATTCCCTTTTCACGAAGACCGTCCAACTCAATTTTCAATTTCAGCTATATAATTTTTTTTTAATACAGGTATAAAATCACAGTTTTTTAATAATTTATCCATTATTTATGTGTCTATATCGTATAACTAATGTACCTCCTACTACCTTATACATAAAATATATACAGATTTTAACAAGTAAATGCAATTTTTAACTTTTATATAACATATAAGTTTGAAAAAATTTACAACTGATATTAATATATGTACGTTTTGGAAACTGCCTGTATAGCAAAAAATATTACGAATAATTGTTGTTGAACATATAATTTAAAGCATTAAACCGTATTCAGCATTAATTGTTACATCTTAATGTTATTAGAAATGTGTATCACTTGGATCATGTGAAACTATATCAGCATGGTATTGTCATTGTTGGTATATAAAAGAGTATACATCTCTTGTCAATAGTCAATATTGTTTATAGTTCATACCACTTACAAGTTAGAACTATTACATTATTACACTACAAACATAAATTTACTTTGTTTCAAATAGGCATCTTATATTTTATTCTTCTTTGTTTTCATAAGACATGTGACTTATTATTTACGTAATTTAACAACTTTTTTGGCATTAAATAATTCAAATTGGTCTAGTAAATTCATGTGTGCCTAACTAACAAAACTAAAATGTTCAAGATAATTTTTTTTTAAATACTAACTATTTTAAGAAATATCCACAGCGACCTCTGCAAAGTATAAACTATACTGGTAGGTACTTAATTTGTAGGGTAAGTTTTTAAATAAAACAATAATTATAGGTAGGTACGACTGTACGAGGGAAGCGATCCATTTTTTGACTTTGTCATACGGTTTTTTTTCTCCCGTCACTATTTACCTTTATGTGAAAACCTTAGTTGGTCAGCCTACAAGGCTGTATACAGTGTAGAGGTACAATAAAATCACACAATTTTTAAACAAATACATCGTCGACTTATAGAATAATATTGTTTAATAACACATTAATGTCGAGCCCAGATAGAATATTATAGATACGATTAAAGTATCCATTTTTTTTATTATTTCTGTAAATTTCAAAGCCTAATTTTGAATTTCTTTCGAGTCTCGACACTTCTAGAGTTTTATATTAAATTATAGTTTAAACGTTAAGACTAAAAACAATATTGTGAGATGCCGGACAAAAAAATGGACTCACGACAGTAGAGCATCTAAATAAGTATCCTATACGCAGAGTTCCGTGTTCTGAATTGTATAGATTTAAACACTCCGAATAATATTCTGTTTCGGTATCTGAAATAAAAAATGTATCGTGTCATCTAAAGAATTCAGAAACTCGAAAACTGATAACA